AGTATATGGTACCAGGGATTGAACTGAGGGCCTTGTACTTGCCAGGCAAGTGCTTAGACTGCTGAGCTATCTCCCCAGCCATTCCTAGCTCTTTGAGGAATCTCCACATTGATTTTCACAGTGGTTGTACCAGTCTGCATGCTCACCAACAGTGGAGAAATGTTCCCTTTTCCCCACAGCCCCTCCAGCATTTGTTATTGGTTAGCTTCCTGATGAAAGCCATTCTTTCCGGAGTTAGTCGGAATCTCAGTTTTGTTTTAATTTGCATTTCTTTTCTTTTTTTTTTAACTGATTTGGTTTACAAATCTTTTTTTTTCTTTTTAATTTTTATTTATTTATTTATGTGTGTGTGGCCAGCTCAGCCCACCAGGGGGCGGGGCCGGCTGGCATGTGGTGCTGGGGGATTGAACCGCGGTCCCTGTGCTTTGCTAAGCTTGCTCTAAGTAGATGCTTTAGACCACTGAGCCATCTCACCAGCCCCTGATCTGGTTTATAGCTAGTTGATTTAATCAATAGTGTTGGCAAGATCATAGCAGTTACATTTTGTGTTTTTTGCCATGAGAGTTCTCGAGAAATCAGGGTAACTTATTACATAGTTTATCTTGGAGTATGTTTGAACTGTGGTCTCCATTTTAATTTTTTTTCAACACTGTTATTCATCTTTATTCCAATGATTATTCCAATTTCACTTGAGAAATAAGGAAGATTCACAAATATGTGTAGTTCTTGGAGTGATTCCCAGCCTGAAGTGGTGGTCTAGGTTAGTACAGTGAAAAGTACACAAGAACCCAGCACTGTAGAGTTTATGACATACCAGAGACATCTGAACATGGAAAAAATATAAAAATTCAGAGTAGACTCTGCTCCCTCCACTGAATATTCTCCCAACCAGGTCCTAACAAACATATTTCAGGCTACAAATTATTAATACTGATTAGGGAAGTATTAAAGAATGGAGTCCACCACTGTATATCATGAAAGGAAACTATGAAGTGTAATTTCTTTCTTTTTACCACAGTAAGCGGCAAACTATTCTAGCCAAGGCCAGGCTCCCTGTGTGACACAGACTGCTGACCTTATATCTGGGCTTGGGGAGGCTGGAAGGCTAAGGACAGAGAAGGCGATGTCAGCCCAGAGGGGACTGTGTTTGGGTACCATCAGAACCCTACTTGGAGAGATAAACAAGGAGTTGAGCCTGTCTTAGGCTTTCAATAACCTGCGGTAGGAAACCCAGAACCAACAGACAACTCAATGATTGCCATTATGGAACCTGGATCCTACTTGCTTGCATGCATCCTTGTTTCAGAAGAGGCTGGCCCAAGGGACTTCTGTCTACACTCAAGTGTCCAGAACTTTGTTTCGTAGCCAAGCAAGGCTGCAGTGGAGATCAAGTAACTTGATGATTTACATTCCAAAGAGCATAGGAAGGCAAGGGAGAGGGTGTTGAGTGAGTGAATCTTGTGACTGGCAACGTTAAGATACAAGCGAGATGTTGCATGGAAATGGCTGACTTTTGTGGGAATGGGTGGATGAGGCAGTGGCAGAGGTCAGGTAGCTGCAGTTATGACAGGCCAGGGGGAAGTGCTTATCCCTGTTTT